CTGCCTACTGTGTGCCAGGAACTAAGTCAGTACTTTATTGTTCTAGGAATCCTTAATGCCCTTATGAAGAAGGCAACATGGAGGCCCCCCCGTGCAAGCAACTGGGGTGCTTTCCAAACACGGCAACCTTCCCTTTAACAAGGCCATTTTTGCTGCACATCTCACCACTGCCCTCAAGCCAAAATTCCCCGTGTTTTAACAGGATAAACATTCCCATGGCAGAGGAACGCTGTGTTCCCTAGAGGAGATGCAAGCATGTCGTTCCTGCAGAGGCCATGCGAGCTTATGAAACAGAGTGCTGGGCTGAGGGCCTGGACTGAAGCCTAGAGGGCTCAGTACCAGCTCTGCAGGCCTCAGCTAGGTCCCAACAAGGCAGTGAGAGGAATAGGGGGTTCAGGGTTGGGAGCTGGGTCCAGTCTTCACATTGCAGCAAACTGCCAGTTCTTTGGGTCTCTTCCTTTCTTTAAGACGCCACAATGTGGTAAGAATTGGCAAGCACAGATGGAGCTATGTTCACATGAGAAATTATTCTTCTCTCTGCCTTAATTTCTCTATAAACAGGAATACTGTCTGCATACAGTGGGGACTCGAGGGCAAAGAAGAAACTGCCTTTGGGGAGGGTACTTTAGAGAGACCTTACATGATCCATCAATGTTTGTATTATAATTTTGATTGACAGCATTTTCTTCTTTCTTGGTGATATGCAGAATGATCAATAAATATCTTACAGTTGATAGTATCTTAGAGCCAATAAAATGTAGGGGGATTTTTTAATCATTTTTTTCAACAATACTGATAATGGATTTTTACAGGGATATTTCTAGAACATCTTTAGTTCATTCAGACACACGAATGGATCAGTGTCTAGGCATCTGCCTCCCTTGCTAACTTTTCTACCCAGAATTTTTTTAGCAAGGGCCCAGGGGTGCTGTACCACCTCTTGGCCACCAGAGGGGGAGAGCACACTGGAGAGGAACAGATTCCCAGTCTCGTGATTGGCTTTAGGCTTGCTCCTAAACCTTTCCTATAAGCCACTCCAGAGCACTGTACCCACCTCTCACTGAAGCCCCACCTTCATAATCAGAGAAGGGAAAGGCCCCACTCCAGGTGGGTAGCAGCGTCCATGTGGGTTGAATTTTATATCTGTAGATCCACATAAAACTCAGCTATGCCTTAAAAAGCTGCTCCTAGAGTGCAAACAGGCACTAGTCATGACAAGAGCCTCCACCTGCTGAAAATACAGAGTTAACGGGTGAAGTTTCCACTGGAAACGTCCCCATGGCCTTCCTTAAAAATCCCTTCATCTTTTTCTCTTCCGTCCAGAACTCTTTCCTTCCTTTCCTCCTCACATTTAATGTTAATTTATTGAACACCTACTATATACCAGGAACTGCACTAGGAGCCAAAGATACAATAGCAAACAGAACAGATCATTGTTCTTATGTATCTTGGGTTCTGGGAGGCTTTTGCAAAATATACAAATCTGCTATAAAGAAAAATATTGGGTTCAAGAAGTATGTGCTTTCTCAGAAACTTTATATATCGTTGTGGGTCTCAGGAGTCTCCAAATGACATAAGAGGGTGACCACCCACCAGTTCTGCGTCTTCAGGAGGCAGGGCCCCCTGTCATGATTACTCTGTTTCCACTCCAGGGTGGATCTGGGAAGGCTCTTTTGACAAGTGCTAACTGAAGCACCCACCAGTTCTGCGTCTTCAGGAGGCAGGGCCCCCTGTCATGATTACTCCGTTTCTACTCCAGGGTGGATCTGGGAAGGCTCTTTTGACAAGTGCTAACTGAAGGAAAGTCCACCAGGTAAAAAGTGAAGGAGCGGCTTTCCAAACCATAGGCCTGCTCTTGCATGGCACTGAGGTCAAAGAAGCACAACACCTTCTACTAACCAATAAGAGTCCTGCAGCCAGAGAGCTTGGAACAGTTTAAAGCATATGGGAGTTGGTGACACAGAGCCCTTGCTTGTGTGTTAAATGTGTGAGATTTGTCTGAGACCATCTGAAAGATTTGGGGGGAGGAGACCAGTGAGGTTGTTTGACTGGTTTGGGTATTTTGAGACATAGTTTTGCTATATCTCTGACTGGAATACTGGTACTAGTAATAAAACCCAGGCTCAAACTGGCAGCGCTCTTCCTGCTTCAATCTCCCCTGCACTGGGATTACAGGATTATGTCACCATGCTCAGCCTCACTGGGAAGCTTAAGTGTAGAACCAACTTCAGAGGATTTGTATATTCTTATACAACTCTGCCCTGAAGAGCATGGGTTAGAGAATCAATTTAGAGTAAAGCTAGAGTGTCCAAATGGGAAATATTGGGAAAATGGCAAGAAATGATAACAGCTAACTAGTGACTATGAATATAAGAATAGTTTAAGGACAGGATTACTGGGTTTGGAAAGCGAGAGAAAACTGATCATTAAGCCTGAATCCCAAGTTTTCTGTGGAATGGCTTAGAATAAGAAAGCTTTCACTGGAGGTGTCTTTGAGGGAGACCAGAGTTTGGGAAAGCATGGAGAAGTTAAAGCATTCAGCATGCCCTCGCTGGGATTTTACCACACAAGCATGAGAGAAGGAGAAAGGAGCAAGGAGATCCAGGGGTAGAACGATAAGCCATGAATCTAATGTGATCAGAAAAGAAAGGGAGGAGAGCTGACTGGTAAAGCCGATGGGTCAGGTCTCCAGGAGGTCTAAGGGCTGGATCATAAGACCATAAGAGGCACTCAGGCAAGCGAGTTCAAAGTATAAGCAGTAGGTGCCAGAGGAGAGATCTGACATTTGAGATTTCATAGATGAGTGATTTCGAGTCCATGAAGTGACTGTGGCAATTGGTGGTTGGAAAGAAGTGAAAAGAATCAGTGGAGATGAGAATCCAGAAAAGGGGACAATGCCTAGACAATGAAGTTGTTTAGAATTATTGGTGTCAGGATGAGGAAGTGTGGTAGGAGCATCTAAAAGCCTTGGCTGGGACAGGGAACCAGAAAGTCAGTAATCATCAGTGAGCAGCTACAGAGAAGACAGTTACTGTACACACAATGGGAGAGGTGGCCTGGAAGCAACAGGGGACAGAAAGGATTCATCTCATTGGGTCAGGAAAAGAAATAGGGAAATGCTACTGATGCAAGGATGGACAGATCTTTATTCCCTCCAGAAGACTTCTGCAATCCTCGAGCAGTGCCTGTGATAGTAAGTATATGGAATGATAGCAGAAACGTCAGGAATCTGCAGTCACCATCTTAAGGAGGGCTTTAACTCATGACAAGCAGCACAGAGTAATAGGGAAAACTGTAAATCATACTTAAGAGACTATGTGCAGGTTTAAAGCCACACTTAGAACACAGTAAAGTGAATAAAGATATAAATGAGCTGGAAGAACCCAAAGAAGAAGGACTATGGGAAGAACTGAATGTGAAAGAGAGGTGTAGAATTACCGGGGGCAGCATGAAACGAGAAACAGGAGCAAAGGACTTCCCAAAGCAAGTCCTATCACAAGGCCTGGCCCTCATGGTGGAGGAGAAAAAAGCCCCACGGGGAGGGAAAAGGGCCTTCAGCCTGGCTGCTCACAGCTTCCAGTAGAACATGCCAAGGCTTTCTACTTTCGTATCCCCCCTGAGAATGAGAAAGGACCAGAACAGTCAGACAGACACAGAAGAAGGGGGATCAAGGGAAATAACACAGTTTCCCTAACAACTTAGAAAATGAGTTTCTATTAGACCCCAATCAGTACTGGATTCTATGTGCATACATCAAGGTAAAAACAAAACCCCAGCATAGAAGTTTGGAAGTGGATAAGAAGTTCCAACCCTGGGACTGGAGAGATGGCTCAGTGGTTAAGAGCACTGGCTGCTTTTGCAGAGGACCTGGATTTGGTTGCCAACACCCACATGGTGGCTAGCAACCATCCATATCTCCAGTTCCAGAGGATCCAACACCCTCTTCTCATACACATAAAATAAAAAATAATAAATAAAATATTTTAGAAGAACCCCCAACCCTAACTGAGAAAACATTGGAATCAATAGCTTCTGGGGGAGGGAGAATCAGTTTTCTTTAAGATGTGATACAGGATAGGTTATCCAGGCTCCAGTGGATGGACCCATGCCAAAGGGTATTTGGAGACACAAACTTGACTTGATGGGCCTTTATATATATATATTATGTATAAATGTACATTAAATTAGGCAGAGGGTATTAAGGGGAAAGTGCGGATGTGTAGATAGAGGAGAAGGTCTAAATATGATCAAAATATATTGTATGAAATTTGTAGAAGTTCAATAAAAAATATTTTAAAAAATGGATACATGATCAGAAATTGGAAACCTTCAACACAGGTGATGAAAGAAAAAGAGAAAATTCCTGGAAAATAAAAAAAAATTAAATGAATGAGCAATGTAAAAAATAAATAAATCAATTTACAACTAACTACCACATTGAGACAGTACAATGAACAACATGAATATTAGAGAGAAAAATATGTAAGTTATCAGAAGAAAAAAGACTTCTGACTAGATAGTCAAGAAATCTTCAAAGCAAAAATGGACTTTCTTCCAGACATGGAGGAGTGGGTACATTTCGAAGGTAAAGCTTCATGAGTAAAGGAACAGCCTCAGGCTCCTTTGGCAACACCAGCTACCCAAACATTAAGTCCCACCTGGGTCTGGTGTTACAGCTCAGTTGATAGAATGCTTGCCTAACGTGCTTGAAGCCCTGAGTTCAAGCCTCAGAACTATGTAAACTAGGCATGGTGGCACATGCCTGTAATCCCAGAACTCAGAAGGCAGAAACAGGAAAATGAGACATTCAGAGCCATCCTTGGCAAGTTTGAGGCCAACCTGGAGTACATGAGATCTTGTCTCAAGAAAAGATTCCATGTATATCACTGCTTATCCCTCCAAGTCAGATGCCAAGACTCCTAAGGTATCTGTCTAACCTTAGCCAAGGCACTTTGTACCCAGTCCTCTCTGACTTGCTCTTTCTGTTTCTCTCTTGCCAGTCATCTGACAGATGAGTGACCACCACCTGAAGGAGATGTCTGACAGCCATAGCAGCCCTCTCTTGCCAGAGCCTCTTTCCAGCAGATATAAGCTGTATGAGTCAGACCTGAGCAGCCCTACCTGGCCTTCAAGTTCCCAGGATACACACCCAGCCCTTCCTCTGCTGGAAATGCCTGAAGAAAAGGTGAGCAACATCCCCTCCAGGATGTGTCCCAAGTGAGAAGTTGGGAGGCAGAGGAGCAAATGATGATGCTTGCCCATCTTCCCTACGAACTTGGTAGCAGTGATGGAAAAGCCATTGCCCAGGAATATTTTTCTGATTGAAAATGGTCACATCCATAATTTGTCCTATCTGGCCTTGCATATGAAAATGTGGCTGTGTGAGACATCATGTGGAGGACTAGAAGAAAATACACACATACTCACCAGGCTACTGGTCAATCTCCACAATCTTTGACCTCACACTTGATCTCCTGAATGACTCTAGTCTCCAGAACTATGACTTTGTTAGAATGCAGATCATCAGCAATCTCTGAACACAGGTGCACAAAAGTAGACTAGCTAGCTACTAGGAGGTGGAGAACACAGGACTGTTAAGTGTCTGTGTGTGTGTGTTGTGCATTCACACATGTGAATATGAGTGTGGAGGCCAGAGGTCAACGTCAGGTATCTTTCTTGATCATATTCCATTTTATCTTTTGAAACAGAATCTCTCACTGAACCAGGTGCTCACTGATTGTCTAGAAAAGCTGGCCATCAAGTTCTAGGAATTTGCCTGTATACACACACACACACACACACACATGCACACACACACACACATGCACACATGCACATACTAGGCTAGAGTTACAGACCACACACACATTCCCATGTGTAGTTTTTTTTACATGGGTACTGGGGATCTCAACTCAGGACCTCATGCTTGAAAAGCAGGTACTTTACCAACTGAGCCATTTTTCCAGCCTCTAAATTCACATACTGTGTATTGTTAGACTAATAGTTTAAAAGATGAAAGATCTTTTATGACTCATGGCTTTAGAGGTTCTAGTCCATGCTTGGATGACTACATTGCTGTGGGTCTGAGATAAGGCTGAAACATCATGGCAGAAGGACATTGTAGAAGGGCCAAGCAAAGAAAAGCTGCTCACCCACAGCATCCAGGAAACAGAGAAGCAGAAAGGGCCAGAATCCCAAAATACCCTTCAAGGATATCCCTTCTCCCAGTGACCTATTCCTTTCAACTACAATCTAACTCCTAGCCTCTATCATATCCCATAACACCTTCACTTATGAATCCATTGTTAGAATAATTCACTTGAATTCATAGTCCTCATGGTCCAATCACTTTCCAAAAGCCTTACAAGCAAGCAATCAAACCTTTAACATACGAGCCTTCAGGAGACATCTCTGATCAAACCATAATGCATTCCTTAAAGTTTAACCTTTTCAAGCATACACTTACATGGTTTTAAGTATACTTCCAAAATTGTATAAACATCACCAAAGTCTAATTCCAGAAGATTTACATTGTCTCAAAAAGAAACACAGTCATCAGCAGTCACCCCCCCCCCATTCCAACCTACACTAACCCCTGGCAATCATCAAATTTCTGATCCTATGGATTTGACTACTCTGAATATTTCATATAGATAGAACCATGTATTATGTGGCCTTTTGTGACTGACTTCTGTGGTTTATCATATTTTCAAGTTTCATTTATGTTGTAGCATCAAATCAGTACTTGTTCCTTTTTATATGACCATATAAACATAATACAGTTCATCTATTCACGATTTGATGGACTATTTGTCTGTTTCTTTCCACTTTGCTCTAGTTTAGTTTTTGTTGCTGTGATAAACACCATGACCAAAAGCAACTTGGACAGGAAAGAGTTTATTTCAGCTTCCACTTCCAAGGCATAGTCCATCTTTGAGGAAAATCAGACAGGAACTCAAGTAAGAACTAACTAGAGGAAAGAACGTGAGCAGAGACCATGGAGGAGCACCAATTCCTGGCTTGCTTCCTCTGGCTTGCTCAGCATCATTTCTTATATAGCCCAGGCTCACCTGACCAGGGATGGCATTATCCCCAGTGGGCTGGACCCCCTTACATCAACAAGCAATCAAGAAAATGCTCCAGAGACAGGCCCACAGGCTAATCTGATGGAGGAAATTCCTCAATTGAGGTTCCCTCTTCCCAGATGTCTCTAGTTTGTATCAAATTGAGAGAAAACTAACCAGCACACACCTTATCACTTTTATGAAATAATTCTGCTATGAGCTATGGGTGAACATATGTTCTTATTTCCTTTGGATATAAACCTAAGAAGAAAATTTCTGGATCAAATGATAACTCAAACATCTTAAAGAAATAACAAACTTCTTTCAAAGCATCTATATCATTGTGCATTATCACCATGAAGTTTCCATTTTTCCACATTACACCCAAACTTATCTGTCCTTATAGCCTAGGTGGTATTTACTGGGATTTTGGTTAGCATTTCCTTACTAAAGATAATATGAAACACTTTTCAAGTGGGTAAATTTTAGCAAATATTTTGCCCAATTTGTTTATTATTGATTTGTAATATTTATATGTTTTGGATATTAGACACTTACTAGATTATTATTGCAAAGGATTACTCCTATTCCATAGTTCTATGTTTGCTTTCTTAATAGTATCCTTTAAAACCAAAGTGTTTTGCTAAGATTTATTTTTTATTTGGGGGTGGGGGTATGCCAAATGTGTATAGGTGCCATGGGAGCCAGAAGAGGGCATCAGATCCCTTGGCAATGAAGTTGCAAGCAGTTTTGAGCCACCTCACATGGGTGCTGGGAACCAAACTCAGGTACTTTGAAACAGCATCCCTTTCTCCAGTCCCCAAAACCAAAGTTTTTAGTTGATTAAATCTAGTTTAACACTTATTGTTTTACTTACATTTTTAATGCTATATCTTTTTTAAACTATCTTATTCTATATGGGTCATAAAAATTTATGCCCATGTTTTTATCTAAGAGCTTACTAGTGTTGGCAGTTACATTTATGCATTTTACTCATTTTGGCTTTTTGTGTGGTATTAGGTAGAGACTAACTTTGATCTTTTTGCATCTAGACATCCAGCTGCTCCAGCACCATTTGTTGAAAAAGCTATTCTTTCTCCATTAAATTGTCTTGGTGCCCTTATAAAAATTATTGATAGAACATAGATATTTAGGCCTCCATTCTTTTGGTCTGGTTAACATAGCCAGCTTTTTGTCAGTACCATGCCATCACGATTATTATAACATCATAGAACATTTTGAAATCGAAGTACAACTCCTCCAACTTTATTTTTCTTTTCCAGCCTTCTTTTGTCTATGCTGGATGCCTGCATTTCCATATGAGTTTTAGGATCCTATTTTCCATTTCCAAAGAAATAAAAGATGACTTGGATTTTTATAGGAATTGCATTAAATCTGTAGATATAGTTCAGAAATAGTGCCATTATAATAATAACAATTTATTGCAGTTTTCAGTGGATGAGACTTATACACCTTTTGTTAATTTTATCCTCGAATACTTTCTACTTTTTCATTGCACCATAAATAAAATTGCTCTCTTAATTTTAATCTTGCATTTTTCATTGGCAGAGCATAGAAATAATTTTTATTTTCATATATTGATCATCTATTCTATAACCTTGCTAAACTTATTCATACTGCTAAGTAAGACTTTTGAAGATCCCTTAAGAATTGACATCTGCAAACAGAAATGCAATCTGTGTTTAACTTTTTCTTTACAATCTCAGTTGCTTTTTTTCCTTTTCCTTGACTGGTTTCTTGGGCTAGAATATCTAGTACAATGTTGAATAGATATAGCAAGAGCAGATAGCCTTGTTTCATTCTTGGTCTTAGGGGACGAGATCTCCAGTCTTTCACCATTACGTGTGACATTACCCATGAGTTTTTAGTAGATGTCCTTTATCAAGGACCTCTTCATCTATCCCTAGTTATTGAGGACTAGTTACATTGCAAATGTTCAATAGCTGCTTGTTTTATGACCTACCATATTGGAAAGCATAGCATTAGAGCAAGAAGTCTTGACCAAAAGGTCCACATATAGAATTGAGGGAAAGATGGACTGAGATGGGAGAAATAATTCATCTTTATTTCTATTATCCTCTAATGGACTTTAGCTTTTATTTCAATTACAAGTACTAATATAGTCAATGAACCACAGCCACTTTAGCAGTACCTTAGATTTCTATCTAAGCTGTCACATATCAGATTCCCCAGGACTCAGACTTTGATATGGAGATTTGAAAGTAAGAAATTTACTGGGGTATGCTTTTGGGAACCACACTTATAGATGAGAAAGGACAGCGAATGACAAAAGGAGAAACTGAGTTGTGTAGCAGTCACAGTAAAGTTCTCAGCTGATCTTCTGGTAGGTCCTGGAGCTGGGAGAGCCTTCCAGAACTGTCCTGAATCAGACCAAGCAGGTCCCATATATACACTCATCATAATTTTAAATTTTCTTTTTGTAGGACAAGGTCTTACTATGCCACCCTTGCTAGCCTGGAACTCACTATATAGACCAGGCTGGCCTTGAAGTCACAGAGATCCACCTGCCTCTGTCTCCTGAGTTCTGGGATTGAAGGCATGCATCACCGCATCCAATTTAATATAAAAATTTAATAGCCATTAAAGCTAATGCACATATATAATGACAATAGTGTAATAATTGCAGTTCAATATAATCGGTTTTCTTTGTAAATCACTTATTTTAGCTATACATTTCCAGACATTTATTATGAAAAGATGTTCATAGGCATCACTAAACTACCAAAAGGATCCTCTGTAAAAAAATGTTAAGAAAACATGTTGTAAAGAGTGTATAATAGTACAGGGAAGAGCAGGCATGCACAAGGTGCTCTAAACAGCTTTAGACCATGGGCATGAGTCTCACCCTTTGTTTCATGACCCTGCATCTCTATTAAAAATCCTAACGTCCTGTTCCCAAATAAATGCCTCTGTTTGCAAGAAGACGCATCATTTGAATCCAGGTGTTGTGGCACATGTTTATAATCCCTGTTCCCAAGAGACAGAAGCAGGAGGACTAAAAGTTCAAGGCTTTTTTGAACTACGTAGCCAGCCTGGGCTACAAACTGAGACTGTACCAAAGAACAACAAATTAAAGGTATATTATCTGATATTTTCTCCTGGCTTTTCCTCAAAGGATCTTCGATCATCTGATGAAGACAGCCACATTGTAAAAATTGAAAAACATAATGAAAGGAGTAAAAGGCGGGAAAGCGAGGTGCCCCGCCGGGGCTCTGCAGGGAGGGGAGGCTTCAGCCTCTTCCAAGCAGTGGGCTACCTCACGGGTGACATGAAGGAGTGCAGGAACTGGCTGAAAGGTGAGCAAATGCTCAGGGAAGAACAGGGAGTGGGCCAGGGACACCCCTCCCTCCAGCTTAGACAACAAGGCTGCTCTCTCCCTCCTCCTTGGTGAGGACTCCCATAGTAAAGGGCAACTCCAGGCTTGAGTTGACTCCAGGTGGGCATACTCCCCATCATTCTAAGATCCAGTTTCAGAATTAATGCATTTCACTGATTTTAGTACTTTGCAAACTATCAGTTCCCGTGTAGAAATGATAGAGTGAACACAGTAGCAACATGCAAGTCATTTCCCAAACACTGAATGGTCATCCCTTCACTTATTCAAAGCCATTTATCATGCCTGTTACGTGTCAAAAAAAAAAAAATAGAAGCAGCATCCTCTCCAAGGCTCCAGGGTTCTTTCCTTTTAGCTTCCTGAACTTAATGCTGTAGCAAACATCATACTCTCCTCATCAGTCCCTACTTGCTCCCCACCAGCATGGTTGTCCTGGAAACCAAACCAGAGAAGGCAGAATGCATGTCCCATCTCCTACACCTGGCTTCCTCTAGGCCCCAATTCAATAATGATTTTCACAGCTGGGCTATAACAATTTCTTTTCCAACATCCTTTCTTGAAGCTACTTTCTTTGCTGCTCAGATACCAGCCCTCAATTAAGTCATACAGCACTACACAAAAAGAGAGTTTACTCCCTCCCCACCTCTTTCCTCGGACCAATAAATTTCCCATGGAATGCTCCTGGGGCTCCTTGCCAACCAAGCCAATGGCTGGAACTGCATTAAATTGGTCTCCGTGTGGTGCCTCACTCTGTAGGGCAAAAACTACCACCCACTGCAGACCAATTGCTAGACCACTCAGAGCTTTGGGCTGAATGCAACACCCACCCTCAACCCCTTCACTCCTCTACCTCAGGCTAGGTTGAATGAGGAGAAATATCCTGGCTGCTGCATCCCCTTGTGCCTCAGTTGCCATGCCAACCAGTAGTCCAGTAGGCAGCACAGGCTATACTCTGCTGATGGCTCTGTCTATATCTCTTGCAGATAAGCCTTTGGCCCTCCAATTCCTAGACTGGGTCCTGCGGGGAGCAGCTCAAGTGATGTTTGTCAACAACCCTCTCAGTGGGTTCATCATCTTCATAGGCCTTCTGATCCAGAATCCCTGGTGGACAATTACTGGGGCACTGGGGACAGTGGTCTCAACCTTAGCTGCCCTTGCCTTAAGCCAAGATAGGTGAGTCCTCTTTATGGGTTTATTGGAAGGTACCTGGCAGAAAGGTGACGTTTGCTTCAGTGGTCAGACAACCTTATCCTAGCAACAACCTAAGACCTCTCTGGTGAGCTCTACAGAATTAAGCTGCTCTGGCTTATAGCAAGCAGCAGCATCATGTTGAGTTTGGCTATGGAACCTTCTGGAAACATCCCTCTGAAGGAAGTGCAAAAGAATGCTTAAAGTGTTCTCTTTTATGGAAGTTACAATCTGTTTTTAGGAGACAAGATTAAGAGGCAATAGCAAGAAGAGATACATTTCTGAATATTGGAAAGAGTAGAGAGATAGACACGTTTCGTACAGGGGATGAATGATAGCGGAGGGGCCTCAAGAAGAAGACAAACGGGAGTACCGGGAAGCACAGAGGCAGGACTAAGGAGGAGCCTGGTTGGTGGAAGTCAAGTAACAGAAATACATAGTATTTTACAAAACTTCATTCTCTCTTCAGACTTTGTTATATGTTGTTCCAAAGTTTCCTGATATTCAGAATCAGTGATTGTGAAGCACTGTAATTCCAGACCTACCTCCTTCCATCCCCCCTATAAATATTCTCCTTCAATGGATCTGGAAGATAATTTTCAAGGTCTCCCAGAAACTTCTGATGGCTCATGAAGTTTGGAAAATAAATGCTGTATTAGCCCACTGTGGCATTGCTATGCCAACATTATATTATATTATAATTATGCCAACATTATATTATATTATAATTATGCCAACATTATATTATATTATAATTATGCCAACATTATATTATATTATAATTACTACAACCCGGTGAAGGATACAGGCTTCTACACCTGATATGGGACTCTCAAGGTCGTGCTGCTGCCATCACTGCACCTGCATGGACACTGTGACCTTAGGTCTAGGGGTGAGCTCAGAACAGTGGCACGCACCAGAGCACATGTAATTGTCAGGCCCAGCTGGTGACCACTGAAGTAAATGCATCAATCAGCTTTTCTCCAAAGGCTGTCCATGCTTCCACGTGACCTTGGAGGACAATTCTAGAGAGCAGGGAAGCCACTAGAAGCTGCATTCTTTGGTGTGCGGGGTTAGTAAGCAAAGTGACCATGTACTCATGCCAAGATTTTGTGTCTGCTTCAGCCAGTAGTCCCAGTGTTCCTTGCTCCCATGGATCTACCACTGCGTGGGCAGCTGGCAGAGAAGTCCTGTCTTTCCTCTCCACCAGTATTTACTGAAACTGACCAAGGGTCATTGCCCTCCTCACTCTGTAACCTCAGATAAGCATGTCCCATTTGGCTACATTATTGTTGCCTGTAAGCGCAATGGTTCCCAGGAGATAAGCCCAAGTCCCTTCTTGCTCCAATAATCAGATTCCCAGATTTTCCTCTCAATCATATTCTGTTGGTAAAGTTTCCAAGTTGCGCAGACAGCCACTTCATAGACTGCTGTTTTTACCAGAAGATACATGTACTAGGCAGACTGAACTAGTCCTCCAAAACACCCCGATTAAGAATCAGACAAACAGACATCACATGAGAACCTGAGCCTCGGCTTGGCTTCCGAAGCCTTCGTCGATGCCCCACTCCTACCGAGTGCTTGCTCTGCATCCCACTTGTCCCCAGTTAAGCACTCTTGTTTCTGAAGTTCCCAAACCTCTTTCTTATACATCTATCTAATCCCACCATTCCTTCAAATCCCTCCTCCTCCAGGATGCCATCCCTGACTGTCCCCCAGGAACTTTGAATGCTTCCTCTCTGAACAACTGCAGAACATACCCAAGTACTATACTGGATTATTCTTTGATTATTTTTTTTTCTGAGTCTTCTCTCACTGGAATGTTCAGGACAGGAAGTCCATTTTGGGGGTTCTATAATCCATCATATCATATAAGAAAGACTCAAGCTTTCTTGGAAACATGTGGATACCATGTTCCTCATCTTAGATTCCAAGCTCTGGACCCTCCACACATACATGCCCTTCTATAAGGACTCCATCACTGTCTACAATGAGTTACTGACATGGTCACACATTCTAGCTTCCATCACCACCTCCACCACCTCACCATCCCTCTCCCACTCCACTGCCCTCACAGTATCCAAAGGCGACATATTCGCTCATCAAATCTCAGAAGGGAAAAACACCCAAATTTCCACAGAAAGTGTTACACGTTACGTGTATGCACACTCTCTCACACCCTCACAATACAGTACTTCAGCCTTGTGGCACTGATTAGAAGTTAAACTTCAGCGCCCACCTCCCCATTTCCTAATTTAAAAGACAGAAAACATTGGAACCCTGCCCTTCGCTGAGCTCTAGTTCTCTCTCCCTTCACCTCTTACCTTTCACACACACACACACACACACACACACACACACACACACACACCTATGTCACATCTCACACTTCTAGCAGTCTGGAATGTCCCTAGAAAGAAAGGAGAACTTGACCACAAATGCAATAAAGTGAATAATTTTACTTTTTAGATCAGCAAGAACAATGAACAAAGCGAGTATGGGTGTGGTATGGGGGTGGGCAACTCAGAAGGGCTCTTCAGGTGGTACAGTTGCCCAGTATTCATTGAGTGAGTATTTCTGTCTTATTTTCCTTAGACAATCTTTTTGTTTATCCTTTTTACTTTCTATTTTTGTCTCCTCCCCCAACCTTAGCGGTTCTAATCCTGTTTGTTTTCATGGCTTATTTTATTACCTTCGTTTGTTCTCCCTCCGTGACCTTTCAAAACTTTCTTCCCTCTCATGGTCTCCTTTCTACTTTCTTTTTATAACTTTTATTTGATTTATTATTAGTGTGGTGTGAGTGCAGGTGCACGTTGCCACAGTTCTCATGTGGAGGCCAGAGGACGACTTTCAGGGGTCATTCTCTCCTTCCACTGTGGGTTCTGGGGATCTAACTCAAGTCACCAGGCTTACATGGCAAGCCAAGCTTCCTTACCCACTAAGCCATATCACAACCACCTCTGCCTTTCTACTTTAACACACACACACACACACACACACACACACACACACACTTATATATTTTGCATAAACATGATGTTTGTCTTTCTGAGCTGTCTTTTTTTCATGTCACATAATGACCTCCAGTTACATCCATTTTCCTGCAAACATTAAAATTTCATTCTTCTTTATAGTTGAAAATATTTCATTGTGTATATTTTCATTATCTATTCATTGCTATATCTTGGTCATTGTGAATAGTGCAGCAGTAAATATGCTATAGAAGCACCTCTGTGGTATGCTAACTTAGACTCCTGTAGGAGTGGTAAGCTGGATCACATAGTAATTTTATTTTCAGTGTTTTGTGGAGCCTCCAGACTAATTTTGCCATGGCTGCACTAGTTTACATTTAGGCTAGCACATCCTTGCCAACAGCATCATTTATTTTCTTGATGGTAGCCATTCTGTAGGGGGTGAGATGGAGTCTCAAAGCATTTTAATTTGCATTTTCCTGATGGTTAAGGATGTTGGACACATTTTTAAGATTTTTATTGGCCATTTGCACTTCTTTTGAAAACTGTGTGTTCAGTCCATTTATTGATTTGATGATCTGATTTTGGAGGTGTAATTTTTACAGTTATTTATGCATTCTAGCTATCAGCACCCACCCACCCCCGCCCCATGTCTGATAAGTAATAGGCAAGGACATTTTCCCATCCCATAAGCTATCTCTTCAGTCTAATGATTGTTTCCATTGCTGTGCAGAAGCCTTTTAATTTTATGAAATCTTATTTGTCAATTCTTGGGATTATGTTCTGTGCTGTTAGAGTCCTTTTCAGAGAACTTTCGCCTATATTTTATGGCGTTTTACCTGTTTTCCTTCGGTAGCTTCAGAGTTTCAGCTCTTATATTAAGGTATTTGATCCATTTGAAGTTGATTTTTTTAGAAAGTAAGCAATATGCATCATTCTTCTAACATGTTTTCACACACCAGTGATTGTTAAAGAGGCTGTCTCTTTTCCTAATGAATATTTTTGACACCTTAGTCAAAGCTTAGTTAGCTGTAGCTATGTGGGTTCATTCCTGAGTCCTTTAGTCTATTCCATTGATCTATATGTTTGCTTTTGCCAATACCATGCTTTTTTGTGCCAGTAGTGTACTGTTTTTATAGTATGTCTCAGGTATTATGATGCCTCCAGAATTAACCTTTCTGCCTGCCATTGCTTTCCATTCTCGGTCTTCTGTGGTTCTACGTAAAGTTTATTCTCTATTTCTGTGACTTGCCATTGGAATTTTGATGGGAATTTCTTTGAACCTGTAGATTTCTTTCAATAACATAGACATTTTCACAATATTAATTCTGCCAGTTCATAAATAGGAGAGAACTTTCCATCTTCTAGTAATATCTTATTTTCTTTCTTCCATGTCTCAAAGTTATGTCCTTCACTTCCTCAATTAGTTTTATTACTAGATATTTTTTAAGGTTATTGTAAGTGGAATTTTTCCTCAATTCCTTTCTCCACAAGTTTGTTATTGGTGTATAGAAAAGCTGTTGACTTTTGTATGTTAGTTCTGGATCCTACTACTTCATTAGAAGTATTTACCAGATCTAAGAGTTTTCTGATATAGTCTGTGGGGGTTTCTTAAGTGTAGGATTGTGTTATCAACACCCACACCAGCATTTATTGTTATTTGTTTTCTTAATTTTAGCCATTCTGATGCGGTAAGGTGAAGTCTCAAAATACTTTTAATGTGCACTTCCCTGATGGCTAAGGATGTTGAACACTTTAAAAATATGTCTTGGTCTTTTGTATTTCCTCTTTTGAAAACAGTCTCTTCATGTTTATATTGAGTTGTTTGTTTTCCTGGTGCTTTGTTTCTTTTAGTTCTTTATATGTTCTAGATATTAGGCCTCCATCAGATATCTAGCTGGTAAAGATTTCCTCCCACTCAGTGTACTTCCTCCTCACCCTCCACCCCCACCCCCCCCACCTCCCCATGACTATTTATTTTTTAGTATCATGAGGTCCCGTTTGTCAACTGTT